TCTTATCTTTCTAAAAGGCATCCTTGGAGCGTTTAAACTCGTAGAGGAAGTCCTGTTTTAGAGCTTCGACCTCCTCTTTTTCCTATTAATAGTTTACTCCGTGTCACAGACCCGCTGTCCTAGCCCCCAACCTTGAGGTTGGTGTTGAGTAATCCGGTGGCCGGGTTACGTAAGCCTGAGGCTGGATAAAACTCTGCATCCTGTATTCTGTCGCGCATGTCCAGAAACGTAGCTCCTTGAGCTACGTCTTGTCAACAGAGCCTGTACCTGTTTAGGATAGAGCCTGCCCGTAGCAATAGATTGTCTGATCCGCCTGCCCAGCATCCACCTGCCAAACAACCTGCCTGCTACCGTGACACTCCGGCTGCGCGGAGTCTTACTAATATCGCTCGCTTACTCGTATAGGCTCGGTATTTACGTATATAGTTTTCGCTCTAGTATAGTCTCCCTATACCTTTTCCGAGCGTGCGCTTATGGAAGCCGTGAGTACTTTAATAAGATAGTCCGTAAGCTATTGTACTAGGAGATCTAAAGACTATGGGTCTTAGATATTACTTATAGTGCGGCGTATAGGTTATAAGTTGCGTTTAATAATGCCGAGGAAAAGCTCCTCGTCTATCATGTCGAGCCGAAACCTTCCCGGGGTCTAGCTAGGTAAATCGATTAGGGCTAAGGGGACCCGGGTAAGCAGAGATTCGTGGTCTAATGTCGTATATAGTGACGTTTCTATACTGGTAGAAGCCCTATAGAGGTTACTAGACGCCTAGTATAAATCTAGGGTGTTACCGCCTTTGTACGTAGGTTCACCTATAGGTGATATTAGGATAAGGCTAGCGGCTTCTGCCCATTCTACTAGGTTTTCAGCGTCCGGGGAACTCGTGGCCTCGGGCTACTATGTCTAATGGTGTAAGTTAAAATCCCCCGTAATTAGTATTCGATCCTTAGGTTTAGGTTGCTAGGCCGCTAGGATATTCCTGAGAGCCTGGCTAGTGTTACGGCCAGCTAGTCGTAGTGAGGTATGTTTGCAGAAGTTGAGGCTGCGGAACTGGTAACAGTAATCGTAGTCGTGGATAGCTTCAGGGAAGCTATGTCTGTAAGTCGTAAGGGTAGGTAAGGCTTCGGTGATCAATCGTAGTCTTGTCAAGGTAGTAGCTGAAAGCGGATGTTAATCCTGATACGAAGTTAATTGCTGAAGAGCTATGGAAAGTCTGTCCTAGAGTCCGGCTCGAGTCCATCCTATATACTAGTCCTGGTCCTGAACATATCCCTTGTCAATGATCAGTTCCTCTGATCGGGTGAGCGCTCATCGTTCGGCATGAGCGCTCATTGTTCGGCATGAGCGCTCATTACTTGGCATGAGCGCTCATGGCCCCACCATGGTCGCTCATGGCCCCACCATGGCCGCTCATGTCTTGTCTTATCATCACGTGACTTGTACCATAGTTCTTCCGTTCCGTGAGAGGGTGCCTAGTGTCCCTTATCTCCTGCATATGTGGTGTATTATAACCGCCGCGAGCCTGCGGGGCAGGCCCTGTTCTTGGTCATGCATGTTGGGTCGTAACAGCTAGATCGTAGAGAGCTACGAGGGGCGTTGTATACGTCAATGACTATGAGGACCTCCTTTGTTCCTAAGAGGAGTCGTAAGAAGAGTAGGTCTGTGGATGGATCGGGTAGAGGCCGTATTTATATACCTCGTACCTTAGTTCCTCTACGGAGGTAGGTAAGTACCCTAGGACGGTCTTCGGTCTAGTTATCTACTGGGGTGAAAGTTTTAAAACCTGGGTGGTGTCTTGTGAGCCTCTTCTTTTCCGAACGGATAGACGGCTCTTATATTAGGAGTATATCGATCTGGGCTACGTAAGCTAGGTTTAGTCCTATTTTGTAGGCGGATGCCCGCCTACCTATATTTATTTATATAATTTATAGGGTTTTAGAGGGCTGTATCTTTTTTATGTCTTATTTACTAGGGTATAGTCTATCGTTTATTCTTCTTTACCGGAATGTCGATGCGATTACTAGGTCGCATTTCTCTATAAATTTTCTCCCTTAGCTCGGATGGCCCGTAGCTAAGCCTTATGTTACGCCCGCCGCAACTTGTCACTGTGGGCGCGTAGCTATATAATGCAGAACAAGGGACAATGATGCCGGAGTCATCATTATCGAAGCTTTTGCTTTGTGCCACAGTTGGTTGCCTTGTCCTGCTCGTAACACATTATCCCTCCTCTAGACTACCCCCTTTACTACTTTAGGTTGGATAGGGTAAGTCGCATCGAAGGCGGCGTAAGGCCCGTTATACGACGGGTATTTAAAGGGGTAGTCATAGCTATCGTGACCCTTAGTGCCGCCGTAGGGTGCCTGGTGTTAATTAGTTGTGTAGGAAGGAGAGCTATACTTAAGGTATCTCTTCCTTCTAGTATACGTTCGTTTACTATGAAAACCGCCATAGCGGAGATATTAAGGAGACCTCTTCTCCTTTAGGAACTACAGGTTTATAAAAACGCTGGCCCCTATTAAACAGAGGCGTCTTAGTAGTTGCTTTAGAGCTTCCGCTTTAAACTAGGCTATTACCGTACCTAGCTTTTCGACTTCGTCCTTCCTAGAGAAGTATGTTTTTTTAGGCTTGAGTTTCGTCGAGACCTGGATCCCTTTAAGGAGCTCCTTGGTCGTGATTTCCAGCTTAGTATTGGTTACTAGATAATGCCTAGTATAAGGGACGTTTACAATATAGGCTCGGATCTAAGTATCGCGTTACTCGATCGCTTACGCTTAGAGAAGGGCAGCGATCTATTCTCTATTCTCTAGCAGGACTTTTATACTATCTATTAACGAAGGTAGGAGTACTAATCCTGTCTTAACATGGTCGATCCCCTTAAGGGCTTCTCGGGCTTGGGGACTTAGCCTTTCCCAAACGAAGATATATATATCGTAGGTTTTCTCGTTCCGAAGCGGGCTTTTAGGTAATAGACGCGCAAAGACGCGTAGATCCTTTAAGGCTGCCCGGTTTATAGCTTATTTTATAGCTTATTTAGCTAGCGTTGGTTTACCCTATCTTTTGGATAGTGGCTGGCTCACCGCTGCCGTATATGAACGGACTGGGGGCGGCTGGTTCTGGGTTATGAGCGAGGGATGCCCCTGGGAACTCAGGTCAGTCTCGCTAGGCCCTGTACTAATAGCGTATATAGACCTTATTAGACTACGTTAATGCTAGTTTGAACGCTGTTTCTCCTCCTAAAGCTCTTTCTCTAAGGATTCGATCTTCGTCAAATAGTCTTTCAAAAACTGTTTCCTCTCGGCGTCCCGATGTAGGAGGTCCTGGACAAGATTCGAAAGCTTATTGATCTCGTCTTTGAGCTTAGAATTGTCCTGGTGGTTGACCTGCTTAACTACTCTGATCTTTGTAGTTGACTTCCGGACTCGTCCCGACCGCCGAGATATACCGGCGTCCCCGTGAACCGTGATCGATGGCCCTACATCTAGGGAGACCGCTATGGTCGTGGAATTTAGCTCGTATGGGCTGATGTTGAGAGATGATAGTGTAGTGGGCCGTAGCCCTCTATAACCTTAATAATTACTAACAGTGGGTACCTTTCGAGGTATGTGTTTAGAAGTTCTTACTCTGAATAGTTTGGATTGAATCCATGAGGTGGGTGTTGATATTTGCTCCTTTATGTCATGTGGTCGTGGTTGGGTGGCCCACTCGCTTGTCTGGCCCACTCGCTTATTATGTACGTTATAATAAAAATAAGAAAGCGAACTCACGAGTTGAAGCTATTAATACCCCATTATAAGGCTTCTTTACCTCGACATAAGTCCGATAACGGGAAGACCCCTCGCCGAACTAAAACAAGACCTTTATATAAAAATAACGAGTATAAAGTATATCGGCGGTTACTAAACGAGCTTCGATAAATTCCAAAAGCGTAAGATGCTTACGATCCTCTATTTTTATCTTTTTAGATTTTGCCTTCGAACCGGATTTCTCTATGCGACTTAATATAGTATTAGTAGTTAACGTAACTATTCGTTAGTGATCACTAAGTGGATACTGGTGAGCGCTCACTTTAAGTAATCACTATGATTACCTTATCGTGTGCTCACTTTCCTTATCGTTACGTGACTTGTTCCATAGTTCTTCCGTTCCGTGAGGAGTCACCTAAGTTCCCGGGTTCTCTGTATATATCTAGTAGATAGCCGCCGCAGGCCTGCGGGGCGGGCCCCCTGGCCTTGTTATGCATGTTGGGTCGTAACATCTACGTAAACCATATTTATAGTTTATCTTACTAGTGTAAAGTTTAATAATCGGTGGTGTGGTGACTGTAAAATTCGATTTCTGCTTTGACGCGTGAAAAAAGTGTTTTGGCGGAGTGCCTCTTGCAGTCTGTCGTACCGGGCCTGGATCTGGGTCGCAGGCACAGTGTGATGGTCTGTGGAGACTTGTGAAAGACTTCAAGCTCCCCCTTGAACAATTTTTAATCTTCTAACTTTCTCGGAGAATACTCTAAATTTCCGTATAGGATATGCGCTTGCTGGATAATCTTTTGTCAGGGAAAGAGCACGGCGGGTGTCCCTTGTTCGGTTACAAATGGGAGGCTGGCTAGGGCGAGGGAAATGGAGTTGCTCCACCTGAAGGAATCGTCTTTGACAAAAGTAGAGTCGCTTGCGACATTCTGCAGCAAGCAGGGGTTCTCTGCCTTAGTGTCTCTATTCTTGGGTAGCTTCCTTCATGGCGCAAATCCAAACCTTGGACCCGAAGCTTCTCCATTACTCTGGGCTGTGATGAAAGCGAGCACGGGTCATGATGGACTTCCTACTACAAAATTGTCAAAGTCGAGGAGATGACAAGTGTGTGTTCTTTGAAATTCAAGTACTAGTGTAGGATTCCGAAGTGTCTGCCTAAAGTACGTGTATCCTCCACCGTGTGGGTGTCCCAGAAACTCCATGTCCCTGATGTTGTACCGCTTTGTAAGTATGCCCAAAAAGCAAAATCGTAATCTCGTAGTCTAGCTCAACTGCTTCCGCCAAAAGCCAACCACCTCGTCTAACTCGGGCCGGCTGTTCGGGTCCCTCCCAACACACCGCATAATCATGTCTTGCCACTCCTTCGGGACGTCCATCGCCATGGCCGTCCATACCGTAGGATCCGGAGACTGCTCGACCTGCTCGAGCAGCATCCACATCGTCCTGCCCAGACTGAACACCTCCACCAGCTCCGCCGCCCGGGGACACGTCGTCTCCCACTCCGGAAGGACGTTCCAGTCCGGGAATCCCCACTTCTGATTCCTCCGCGGCGCGCCGGTGTGGGGTGTATAAATGACCACCGGCCTGCCGTTCGCGCCGGTGGAGAGGGACGACTCCTCGGCCTCCTGGTCGATGGTAACCTCGGGCGGATGCGTAAACATGGAAAATCCGCTCTGCTCCCAGTCGATGAGCCGGAGGTTGTTCTGGTCGTCGACGAGGATGTTGCCGGGCTTCAGGTCCATGTGGAAACTCTCGGCGACTTGGTGGGTGTGTTGAATCGCGAGGGCCATCTGGTAGCACCACTTGGCCTTGAGATCCAGCGGGAGACGTCGGCCGGCCCTGTTGGCGCGCATGACTTGCTCGTCGACTGAGTCTTTGCTCAGGACCGGTTGGAGAAAGCCGCAGATGCGGTCCTTCTTGTCCCCGTCTTGTACGACGACGAGGACCTTGGGGCAGGGCATGATGTTCGGGTGGGGCGGCAGGGTGTACAAGGTGCGGATCTCGTGGAGGAGGGTCTTTTCTTGGTGTTCCTTAAAGTCTTTGCTGTCTCGCTTGTACTGGTCAAAGTCCATGCCCTTGAAGACGAAGTTGGCTTGTGGGGTAAGGCCGGACGCTTTTTTAGTGACGATCCTTGCTCCCGTCTTGCCGGGGAGGGTCCCGAGAATCTCGAGGTCGGCGAAATCCACAAGCTGGAAGTCTGTTGGGCGTCCGCTTTTGCCGAGGCTTGCAATGAACTTGTCGAAAGGGGTGAGCTGGTTGATGTAGTGTTCCCTGACGGGAGAGATCTCGCTTGCGACGGCCATTGTAAGTGATATTAAATAGAGTCTATCGTAAAGGGTTGAGGTTTCTGCTCCTAGAAGAGTTCGGCTCGGGAAGGCGAAAAAGAAGTCGTCTTTTTTTATTTTCCAAAATAGGTTCTCTAATAAGAACAGTGAATGAGTATACAGATTCACCAAGAGACGAAGCTGAACAGAACAGTCGAGTTGGGACGGAAGACTGAATGTAAGCTGGAAGACTTTTGAGTTAATACCTTTAACCCATCATCAACTCTGATTGGGTGTCAACTCGAGCCTGCCGCGGTTGTGAGTCCCATCTCAACTGATGGTAGCATTTACCAGGCTCTCTTTTCTTCTTCCGCTGATTGACAAAGTCCCTGTGGAGAATGGTCAAGGGAGCGAGGCAACTTCGGTGAATGAAAGGGTCCCGGCAGATGCGATTGGGGGTATCAATCGCATTTGAAAGTCGGTACGGGAGCGCACGGTGAATCTGCTCCGGGACCATTCCAGACCCTTTTTTTCTGTCTGTGTGAGACTTGAAAAGAGAGAGAAAGGAATTTTGAGATCCTCCGAGAAAAGCGATATCACTGCCAATACCTTTTTTTCTTTCCCGTTCCAACCCCGGCTACCTAAGCCCTAGGGTCTAGCTTGGGAATTACCTATGATGCTTCGTCAACGATGTCTTACCTCGCTCTCGCCCATCCTGGTCATCTGACCGAGCGAGAAGTGAGGCGGGCGTGAGATGATATCACGAACGCCATCATCCACGAGAAAGAGTCGACCGAATCCATGCGCGGGCAGGATGCATGCCACTAGGCGGGTGGTGATTGGTGGCATCCCGCAAAGTGGCAGGGTGCGTGCTTCTTCATCCCTCACATTCGATATCTGACAGGTAAGAAATCCTCCGTCCGGGAAGGTTACGGCCCTAGCTGGCTGGCGGGAGATCAGATATCACGAAATGCCTCGTGTGCCTGTTGGCAGAAAGAGGACAAGGGGGAAAAAGAAGGGTGTGTCTTTCCTACCCGGCACGCCAGAGCGGCCAGACACCCGCTGTCGAAAATGGGCAAGGCGTACCATGCATGCGTGCCATGCTGTTTAAGTCACATTCATCGATGCGTGACGTAAGACACGAGCATGAGACAACAGGGACGCTACAGGTGTAGGGGGCGCGCACGCTGTGAGTGAGCGTGTACGGAGTACGGATAGGTCTTGCAAAGTGAGGGATTTCAGGTGAGCGAGGTGAGTCGGCTGGCGATCTTGCCGGATGGAGGCCGAGGGCTGAATGTCATTGGGGGGTTGAGGATCGGACATGGGTTCAGATTTATTGATATGTGCCGCGGGAGCGCTTCGACCGGGGTGAGAATCATTTTGCCAGTTTGTATGTAGTTATGTGGACGAATATGCGTGTGTGCGTTTGTGTCTGTTTGCTCGGACGGTGTCTCCGGGCTGGCTGAACACACAACGTTGAGGAGGCGTCCCCCAATGCCTGTCTTAGCTTACCGGCGGTGGTATGATGGGGCGTATTTTCGAGCATGTCGTTGAGACAATCGTAGGTGAGATGGGGGATGTGATATGATATGATGCATCATGGGGGCCCCAGGGTGGGAGGGGAGAGAAAATGTGAGATGAGAAAGGTCCATGTCGGTTCCCAGGAAAAAAGGAGGTTATCGGGGCGATCGCCGATGTCCAATCGCGGTGGGGTGTCCCGCCGGCACCATACTCCATAGATTGACCCCGAACCAACCCTCGCCGATCGTCCCATCTGATGTTTGTGAGGTGACAGTCTAGCGGGAGCACCCTCCCTCCAGGTTCGACCGGGGAGGACACCCCTTGCCTTCCGTGAAGTGGATGATGGCGCTTAGGCTCGGGTTGGCAGTTGATGATGTCTCACAGAGATCCGGCCAGCTACCAGCCAAACCACATGGGTTACACTGCGCCCTCCCATTGGTAAAGTGACTGCCGAGATCGGGCCGTATATCTTTCTCGGAAGGTCGCGGCCAAAGGTGAAGACGTTTGGACTAGTCGTCTTCTGCCCTATTGTAACTGGTCCAGTACAGTCGTTTCCCACTCTGACCCCCCTTCAAACCAAAGTTCAAAGGTATCCTGGACCCAGACACTGGGCATGGAATTTCTTCTTTTTGCTCTATGCCGTCCCGGTAATTCTATCTGATATCCGTTCCGAGTCGCACAAAAGAAATCGCTAGAGACAACACAGCCCGGAGAGAATGCAGTAGTGCGATACTCGAATATTGCTCCGGAGTCACAGGGTCAAAGCGAGAGCGGGCGCCAAGTCAGACCTGCTCACTAATTCGACTACAAGCGGAGCTTATTCCCGGTGCGGCCTACTCAAATACTCGATCAGTCTGTGTTTGCGTCTAGCGTTTTCGCACTCTGGGTAATTACTAGAAGTCGTCTTCACTTAGTTATCCCCAAATGCTCCATATGTCTCTTTCATACCGCTGGTTCCCCAGTTGAGAAGGATGCGATCCCTGAAGAGTCAGTGCCGCAATGCTCCTTGGCAAGACACGACTCTTCTCGATTCCACCGCAGAGGGCATTGATCTTACCTTCAAGTCAAAGGGATCTATGTGGAATGGTATGGCGGCTGGACTACACAGAAAGGGGCATTCATCTCGCCTCAACCTATCTGTAAATCGTATTCAATGGTTCCGATATTTATCCGCTTACTCTCCGGTCCCAAAGTTAGAAAGCCTGACAGACAGGTTTGAAACCAGTCGCACTGAAGGCTTCGTGATTGGAGAGGTATCAAAGGGGTCTTGCTACCGTTGCAAAGGCCCGAGAACTCGATTGAAGATCATCATAAAACAGTTACCTGATGCGGATGGGTAGGTGCTACTCTGTTGGGGACCCCTGAGAAAGCCCCGGCAGGCATACCCCGATGCTGACCAACTGCACTTTTACAGTCACAGAGATCGGCCGGAGCCGAGTATTCAGTCTCCAATGCGTCTGTCTGTCTGGCTAGCTATTTCTACCCGTAATGCTTGGTCCCTCGTATCGAGGGAACTAGGCAGAAAACACCCAACGATCTTCAGCTGCGAACTTTTCCGAAGTATCAGCAATGGCACGGGAAAAACATTTCTCTCATATTCCTGGGGTAAGGACATTGATGTGCGAAATACAGCAATATCACCCTGAACTGAAGATCTGAGATCGGGATTTGAAAGCTTGAGGAGCGCCGGTGTGACGGGTTCGCCCGCCTATCTAGTTCTATGCGAGAAACAGTGGGAACCAACACACCTACTTGACTGGGCTGAACATCTCAACCCGAGATTACTTGCACAAGGTACGTGACTTCGTCCCTGTAATTTAGCTTCCTTGTACTTAGGTACGGAGTGCTACCCTAGTGTCATAGGATAGGCTTCTGTTGGGAAGGGCTGGCTCGATGATATGGGAAAGAGTGGCAAGCTGGCAACCAATACGCCTGGCGACCTACCAATTGGAAAATAGAGCCCAACCTTAGTTCTTCACAAGAGTGATGGCAACTATCAGTGACCAGAATTTCCTTATTTCTCCCTATGTGAAATGGCCTTTGAGGAGAGGGGATTCCGACAACAGTTCAGCCCGTATTAACACGTATGCTGTCATGGGCACCAACACGTATTTTTTGATGATTCCTGCCACTTTTTCTCATTGAACTTACAAGCTTGTCAAATCGCCAACAACAAATTAACGAGCAAACGAAGAGATCATGGTTGTGGTAATCGGCAGGATTCAAGGATCCTGTCCCTCGCCGCGACAGTCTCTGGGTTGCAAACACTAATTCGATGTTGCTCTCAAGAGGGCCAAGAAAGGTTCCCCGCTGAAGCTAGTAAGATAGGTATCGAGCAAGTAATTGATATAGGAATCTAATCGAATAACAAGCGAAACCGAAGTCATACACATGCGGTCACTGGGCTATTGTCTCGATCCAGGATACCAGATTCTGTACTGTCGAAGTTTAAGCAGGCACTCGTTGCGGAATCGACGCGAGAGAATTGAAACTGTAGAGAGACGGGAATGTAGTAATGTCAGACCCGGAAGCCCGACTTAGTAGCTCAAGTTCCAACTCTCATCATGTACACGAGACAGTGGAAGCCTCACTCAAAGATCGGGAAGTGGGTCCCATCCCGGTCGTTTCGAAGATATTTGAAAGCGACCTCGGTGAAGATGCTTGTGAGTAAGTTGATGAGTTGCAACTTGCCCGCGCAGATGGTGCTGAGCCATAATTCAGCACTCGAGTGTCACTCGCCGAAGCCGCCGAGGCCGGAGTCACACCCGAGCCCGAAGATTCCATAGTTGCCGACGGGATTGTGGAGTCCGGTGCCGAGTCCGAGCTGGTGTTGATGAAGAATTGTATGTACCTTATGGAGGATAAGGTAGTAGGTTATCACCGCAGAGGTTAACGCAAGAGGTATCAAGATAAGTTTTTTTTTTTTCCAACATTTCTTTTTCTGAGAAGAGCATGCGGGAGTGAGATCTCTTCACCTGGGCAGTTTATCTGAAGCATCTACTCCACGCGTACCCAAGGGAATGTAGCATTGTCACACCGAACTCACGGTATGAGATGTGCCTTGCATTGCTTCTCGATCCTCTCCGGTCCAATTGCCGGCACTTTTCAGACGGAGAAAAAAGGGAGTGGGTGAGTGGAAGAATCAGCAAGTTTGGGGGAAAGCCGTGAGAGGCCGGGCGGCATGCCGCGGCCCCGCCCCACCCGCGGCGAACCCCGGCGCCACTGCGGTTTTCTGCCCCACCGCCTCCTCTCCGGTACAAGTGCAACCTTCCCGAAGAGGAATGCACCAGTGCAAGCTCGTCTTGGCTTCACTTGGCTTCATTCGCGTGCTCTGGCGCGTCAATTTCTTTCTTCCACAGACACACACACACACACACACAAATACACATGTTCTCTTCCTCTTCCTCTCTCTATTATCGCCTTGTGGGAAACCAGCTCCAGATACAGAGTACCTTGCACTACTCCGACTTTTGAGTCCCCTGCTCACACGCCATGACTAACGCCAATGACCCCCGCCTCTCAATGTCTTCAATATCCAGACTTAATCACGCCGTCAACCCATCTTTGGCAGGTCCTTAACGAATCCCCCGGGTCTCTCCGTTCGAAAACTCCGTCCCATGTATCGCAGCAGCCAGTCAAGATTACCGCCGAGACCAACAGAGGGCAAGAGATTTGAAGACAGCAGCGGGCCCGACTCGTCGACAACTTGACAACTCGACCGCGATCCATGTCGTTTACTTGGCATCCGAGCACAACATCCAACAATGTCGCCAACGATGGACCGATGCACCGTCGCTCGGTGATCTCTCGTCAGCACTGCAGTGGAACACGGCCCACTGCAACGCGCACCTGCATGGCCATCGACGCACTTTAGTTCAATGGCACCGCACCGCACGCTGGTATAAAGTGGCGGCACCTCTCCAGGATCTTAGGACGCGACTTTCTTTCGCCTCTGTTTGCTTGCCGTTTCTTGCAAAAGGTACCCATTCTCGATTACTATAGGAATTGGGACACC